AGATCTCCCATGCGGGTAAGATACTCCTGCTGATGTGCATCAGCTTCCGTCTTAACCGTGGTGAGAGCGTCATGAAGAAGCTATTTGATATTGGCCGACTGCTCGCCCTGGAACTCATTGAAGTCTGCGCGGTCCGCATCGGAGAAGGTGGGGCCTGAGAGGTCGATGTCCTCACCGAAATCCAGCGCGAGATCGTCTGCAGAATCCTTGAACAGAGATGTGATGTTGATGGTATTGACCTTGGACTCGCACGGCTTGATAACACCTTCTAAAAAGACTCGGGTAGCCTCCGCCAGGGCTTCCTCAGCAGCGATGTCCTTCGCCATGAGGTCGTCAGGTAGTTTGTTGGACTCTGTGGCTTGCTTGTCCAAGCCGACGCGCTCGAGCAGAGCCTTATCCAAACGCTCTGACGCAGCCTTGCGAATCTGGCCGGCACGGCTCCGAGATGCCTGAGCCGACACGGGCGCAGCAGCAGGCGCAGGCGGCTGGAAGGGCGCCAAGAGCTTCCGCGCCCCTGGCTGGGCGAGCTGCCCCCGCCGCCTGCCGAAGGGCTGCCAGCGCCTCGGGCGGCAGGCTGGTGGCGGCCTCCTGCCGGGCCTGCTCCTCCCGCGTGGCGGCGCCAGCGCCCCTCAGGCTTGGCACCACCGTCGCCACCGTGCGGGTCGTCGGCCAAGGCCATCGCCGAGCCGCTGCAACCGATCGGGTGGTAGGCGTCCCGGGTGGAGTGGCCGCGGGGATCGCAGATGTCCTGGCATCCGACACGGAGCCACTTGCGCTTGGCAGGCAGGTCGTCCCACGTCCAGTGCCCACAAGAGCGCACAGTGTAAGGACGCCCACGACGAGGAGCGTGGCCAGCCTCAGCGCCAGCGCGGGCGACCTTGATCCACGGATCGTACGTCCAACCACCATGGCTACTTCCAGTCCCTCCGACACCCGGGATCATGGGCACCGACAGGGGCTCGCACGAATAGTCTGCTCACCCGCGGGCAGCGGGAGGTAGGCGCTGACTAGGGCGGACCAGAACAGCGCGCAAGATGGATGCCGAGCTGAACAGCTCTGACTGCTACGGTGACAGCAGCTTCCGTGATTGCCTATGCGGGCTCAGCCCGCAAGTTGGAAAGTCTTGAGCCAAAATGGCTACAAAGGAGGAGGAGGAGGAGGAGGAGGAGGAGGAGGAGGAGGGGGCTCGAGGCGGAGGAGGAGGAGGAGGAGGAGGAGGAGGAGGAGGAGGAGGAGGAGGAGGAGGGGAAGGAGGAGGAGGATGAGAAGGAGGAGGAGGAGGAGGAGGAGGAGGGGGCTCGAGGCTGTCGCGCGTTTTCGGAGGTCCTCCGCGGGGTTCCAGCCTTCGGTTGCATTTTCCGGTGGCTGCGCCTTCTCGCCGATGGCGCTCGGGTGGTGCCCGGATCGTCCCGGTGGGCCGCTCAAGGCCCGACTTGCGGCCCGACGGCCCCACCGTTCGTCATGGGAAATTCACGGCGGCAAGTTCATGGCGATTTCGGCTTCTGGGTCAGAGGAGGAAAAGGTGCCCATGCCCTATACCCCTTCCTCGTTTTCCCCATTTGGGGGGGCCTCCTCGGGCCCTCTTCGCCACCGCTGGATTCACTCCGAAATTTTGGTCAGAGCGCACCCCGGGAGGTCCGGGGAGTGGCGGCAGTTCAGCGGTGCCGCTCGGTCTCCCCGCCGGGGGCCCCATGGTGTGCCCCAGGGCCGCCCAGCAAAACGGCTCGAGCCGGTCTTGGGTCGGTGGCTCAGACGCATGAGGGTATGAGCGGTGAGGGAAAGTCCACGTGGGAGTTTTTGGCTTCTTCGGTGCAATCGACAGTGTCATCATCGAATAAGCGGCTCAGGACCGTGTTGAACGGGACTGGAGACCAACGAGGACGACGATATATTTGTCCGCCTTGCTCTACGCCGACGGTGCACTGATCTCCAGAAGGGGAACGGGGGCCGTGGAAACATCAGCACTACAGACAAATTCCAATTCTTAAAATATGGGGCGAAAGCAACGCTCGAAACACGACACCCCCAAATGGCCGGAGAGACGCGGCACCTTGCCAGTGAGTCATTCGGTGGAGCGAAGACTTGTGGCCACCAGGAATACAACGCGCGCGAGGAACTCTACGAGACTTCCGGCGGTGACCAGGTTCACGGCTCACCGCCTGCATCCAGTTGTTTCGAGAATGGGGGTTCGGTGCCAACCAGGCCGCGATGATTTTGCGATCGATGTAGATGGGATGGCCGCGCACCCAAAGGAGCGGTGGAAATTGCCAAGGAGACGCTCTGGATGGCGCGAACATTGGGAGGCCGACAAAGTAAGTTGTCAAATGCGATGTTCCATGGTCTGTTAGTACGCTGGCCCCTTCTGGGGCCCCTGTCGTTGCGAAGCTCATGAGGGGTCATCAGGATGCTCTTGCGCGGCTCTTCGGTGGTCTTCCAGGAGGCCTTTGCAGCATTCATGTAGCTCTGGGGGCCTACCAATTCACAGTAAGGCTCCTCTGGCAAACGTGCAGGCCCAGCCAAGGCGGGGGGGAGGAGGTGGCTAGCGCAGTTGGCAGTGAGGCCCCACTGTCAAATAGCTTGTTTGGAGGTCTGGGCGGACAAGGAAGTCCGATTATCGATTTGACAGCGGGGGCCCACTGTCACATGGACCATCGGGGAGGCAGGCCGAGGCGCGGGAATTGAGCTCGAATGAATGCCCATTTGTCAGTGAGGGTCGGGACTTCAGGGGCGCCGCCCTGAAAAAATCGGGACGTGGCATGTCTGGGGAAGGCCTGGAGCATCTGTCGGAAAAGGCGCGAGAGCCTCTCAGAAGCCCCGCCGCCGCCTCCTCCTCCTCCTCCTCCTCCTCCTCCTCCTCCTCCTCCTCCTCCTCCTCCTCCTCCTCCACCTCCTCCTCCTCCTCCCCTCCCCCTCCCTCCTCCTCCTCCTCCTCCTCCTCCTCCTCCTCCTCCTCCTCCTCCTCCTCCTCCTCCTCCCCTCCTCCTCCTCCTCCTCCTCCTCCTCCCCCTCCCCCTCCTCCTCCTCCTCCTCCTCCTCCTCCTCCTCCTCCTCCTCCTCCTCCTCCTCCTCCTGGGCTCACCGCCGAAGCCCGTCTTCGGGTCATGACTCCGCCCTCCGACGGCCGCTCGGGGCGACCCCCCGGGCGCCCTCGGCACGCTCGCGACGAGGCGCAGCCGCCGGCGCGCGCCGCGAGGCCAGGAGGCCTCCCGCGAGCCCGCGGGAGCGGAGAGCCGGCGCAGCGCGCCCTTGAGAGAGGTGCTGGCGCTTCTGGCGCTCCTGGCGCTCCTGGCGCTCCTGACGCTCCTGACGCTCCAGACGCTCCTGACGTCAGAAGCGCCGCCGCTCAGCGGGGAGACGCCCGAGAAGCGCCAGCCTCGAGCCCGAAACTCCCCCCCTCAGGCGCACCGCCGATCATCACGTACTCCTCCTCCTCCTCCCTCCTCCTCCTCCTCCTCCTCCTCCTCCTCCTCCTCCTCCTCCTCCTCCCTCCTCCTCCTCCTCCCCCTCCTCCTCCTCCTCCTCCTCCTCCCCCTCCTCCCCCCTCCTCCTCCTCCTCCTCCTCCTCCTCCTCCTCCTCCGCCTCCTCCTCCCCCTCCTCCTCCTTCTCCTCCTCCTCCTCCTCCAGGGCCAGGATGAGGATGGATCCGTTCCAAAGCGTTCCAGAACGCTCTGAGAAGGCCGCGGCGCCCGATACGTCCTCCAGAGCCGCAGGATCTCAGAGATTCTCGATGTCTCCTCGCCCGAAGCTATCCTCGTCTTGGCTTCGTCTCACCGTCAGACCTGGAGATAAGATCGACGCCGGTTCGGGGAGGGTACCTTGATGGTCTTCGTGTCTGTTGGGTGGTCTCGTGCACCCTGGGGAGGGCACCCTTAGGTGTTCTGCACATTTTGGCCGGTGGAGGGCCTCATGCTCTTGAGGGACGTTCTGCTGGCCTAGGTCCGATTGCACAGTCAACCCGCACAATTAGGATGAGCGATTTTCCAAGACTGCCCCTGCATCCTCCCGTACATGGACATTAGATTCGAACCCTGTGGCCCAAGATGCCCCCCAGACCCCCCGAAATGAATATTGATGGCGTGGCGACGGGGGGGCGTGAGTGGACAGAAATATTCGAACCCCAGAGCACCGCCTTTACTGAGATCAACGTTGATGTCGGGGGCGCGGGGTTGACTTAGAATCTCCCTCGAATGTAAGGGCTCGAATAGATGGTCCATCCACTGTCCCCCTTCGGCCCATCCTTGGCCACCTTGGCTAGCGCCGCGCCCCGCTCGCAAAGGTGTCGGCACGGCCCTCCGAGGCCCCCTCTTGGGCGACGCTCTTCTGGCCCAGGCTGAGGTCGAGCATGTCCCCCTGCAGGAGGAGTGCTCAAGAATAGCCGATCGGGGGTGGACAGAACCCCCAACAGTGACACGTCGATTAGTGAATTGTCCGTTTTCGGTTCTCGAGAGGGCGCCGTGGCCGTTATTTTCCAGGCTTGCGCCCGCCAGGTTTGGGCCCGAGGTCGTTTTCACTAAACCACGTTTTACTAAAGGGAGGTCTGTCCATCCCCGAGCCGAAAGACAGTCTGGCGACGATCTGACCTGCTCTTCTGACCATGTTCGACCGTTTGCGGACCGCTTCTGCTCTGCCTTCCACAGCCCGCCTGCAGTCGCAGGCCCAGAGGTTGACGCCAACACCAAGATCGGCGGTGTTCCTCCACCGAGGGAAGAAGATCCCGATCTCGGTGATGGTGGTAATATTCTGGCTTCCGAGGTGGCCGAAATACTGCCACCAACACCGAAATCTAGGATCACCTCCCCCTGTGGAGGCAGCCCTCTGTCTTGGTGTTGGTGCCCATTTCCAGGCCTCCCATGTAGGAGGACATGCCCGACCCGAGCCGAAGGTCTGACTGCACAGCCACCGTCGGCCTCGTGCTCGCCCTCCGCCGCCCCCCGCGGCGGGGGGCGGCCCGCGCCGCCGGGGGGCACCCGCGGCGCGCCCGCCCCCGCCCGCCCCGCAGGGAAGACGGGGAGTACCGCAGAGCCGGCATGGTGAACTTCAGGCCGCCGTCGCCGCCCCCCCCCCCCCAGCTCGAGGACGAACAGAAGAGACGCCACAGGCAAGAGATGTTGGCTTGCAGAGGGTGCCTCGTCACAGTAACGCACCCTGGGGGCCTTGGGGAGCCCGTTGGGCTCGGTCGCCAGGGCGTCGTGCCCTGTGGCGACTTCGCGGGGCCATCGCGTCAGCCCTGCGGCCCCGCGACGCGTCCGCTGGCAGGCTTCTTGCTTCTGCGCTGGGAGAAATTCATGCTTATGGCGGTTCTGTTATTCTTCTTCTGCCGATGCGCGGGGAGCGGGGGAGGAGGACGACGACGACGACGACGAGGCGGGCGGGGAGGACGAGGAGCTGCACCTCGTGATGCCAACTGCGATCGGGTGCCGGGCAACTCTTGGCCAAGATGGGAGCTGGCGGTACTGATTACGCTGCAAGGTTACTGCGATTGGCTCAAGTACGCACTCTCGCAAGCTGAGATGATGGCCAGGCATCGTGGGTTCACGTTGTGCCGTCTCTCCCAGCAACAGCTTTGGAATAGAGAGGCGCGCGCTGACCCGCCGACACGTGAGTGCATGCCTCAAGTCAAGGTGTTGGGGCACGAACTCTGGTGGTCTGGTGTATTGCAGGAGTGGAGGCGCAGAGCTTGTGGTGTCATGGCCAGTGCCAGCACTCATCTCAACAATCTCTGTTGGGGCTCGGGGAAACACTGCGAATCATCGCAGTTACAGCGGCTACAATCCGATATTTTCTTCGGCACAGGGCCTGCTTTTGTTTTCAGGTCATGCGCAGGGAGTATTGTATTTCCTGCGTGTTCTCGTTGCCGACGTTAATTTTCCGACATGCTCAGCGCACGGCCTGCCTTCTAGGGGACAGCTCCGTTTACCGGAGCAGGCACGCGGACTTCCACTCCATTCCATTCCAGTTCATTCATGCGCAGGGAGGTTTGTCATATTGCAGCTACGGGGGCTGATGAGGATGCTGGGGTGCAGCCTGAGGTTGCCGTGGTCGATTCTACGGCGGCACAGCTGGTCGCACACAGATTTTTCGCTGGTCAAGGGGATGTTTTGCAATGGGACGGTTTCACTTGCATTTGTACGACGTGCGCGCGTTCTAGCAATGATGTCACTCAGGAGGCCTTTAACTTCAAAGAAGCTTATTCTGGTGCGGTTCAAGAGCCTGCTACGCGTAAGAATCAGGCCAAGTTAATCCTACGATTGCCAGATCAAGGTCGATGAAGTTCCCCGCAGACGACGAGGCACATATGAAACAGTAAGTTACGTCCTGGGAAAGCCCCTAGTGGGGAACACCCCAGGCATTATGTCGCCACGTTGAGCTGGAGGCCCGCGGAGGCTCTCTTGGGGGCTGGTTGCTTTTCTTGGCATGGTGCTTCTCCTATCAGTGATCTGGAGTGCGTTGCGGCGCTGGTCCTGAAGGCTCCTGGTCATGTTTTCATTATCTTGGCTCGCTCTCGACCCGCAGACCAAAAAAGTTGTCATTATCTTGCTGCTACTGTGGGCATGCTGCATTTGCGTGTGTATGGTTTTTGGGTTCTTTGGCCTCTTCGGGTGTCTATCAGATTCGGCGACCTCGTGGTAGTCGCTGGAACTGCCTTGGCATTCGGTGGTGCTGTTGCTGGTGATCATGCGAGAGTTCATTGGTTGTCTTGCATGTGTGTTATTCAAGGCCTGCGGCTTCGTAATGGACGCCGGCGCTGTACGCAGCTTCTGTGTCCTATTTCAGGCTGGTGATCTCTGGTCATTGGCAGCCTCGGCTAGATGATGATGATGATGATGATGATGATGACTTCAAGTCCTGCGGTTTCGGCGAGGTCGGTGATGTTGCTAGTGGTCTTGCGGAGATCAGTGGCTGTGTCGCGTCTGTGTTGGGAATGTATGAGTTTGTTGTTGGCTGGTGATCATTGGTCATTGGTTGTCTTGGCCTGATAATGATGATTTCAACTCCTGCGGCTTCGGCGAGGTTTCGACCTTCCGAGGCCGCCGCAGCGCTGGTGTGGATCCGCGGTGGATGTGATGGAGCGACGTCCGCTGGCTTTGGCTGGCGGCCGCCCACAGGATGCGACGGATGCTAAGGACGAGGAGGAGGAGGACGAGAAGGAGGACGAGGAGGAAGACGAGGAGGAGGAGGAGGAGGAGGAGGCGGGCGAGGAGGAGGAGGAGGAGGAGGAGGAGGAAGAGGTGCTCGCGCTTCTTTCAGTCGGTATATGTTTTGACAGCAGCCACGATGCTCACGCATGACTCACGTCAAAGGGGCGAGCGGGGAGCAGCCCACCAGTGCGCGGGGAGCGGGCGGGCGGGGCGCAAGCCGGACAGTTCTGCGGCACGGTCTTCGGCTCTCGGAGCTTGACGTGTCCTTGCTGGGCATCGTGCCCTTGCTGCCCCGGCGTGCAGAGATGAAAACGGGATAGGCTTGAGGTTGGATCGAGGGTCCTCCTCCTCATCCTCCTCATTTTCCTCCTCATCCTCCCCTCCTCCTCCTCCTCCCTCCTCCTCCTCCTCCTCCTCCTCCTCCTCCTCCTCCTCCTCCTCCTCCTCCTCCTCCTCCGCTCCTCGTCCTCCATCCTCCTCTTTCCTCTCTCCTGTCTCCCCTTCTCCTCTATCCTATCCCCTTCCCCTCTCCTCCTCCTCCTCCTCCACTCCTCCTCCTTCTCCTTCTCCCCCTTCTCCCCTTTCTCCTCCTCATCCCCCTCCTCCTCTTCCTCCCCCCCTCCTCCCCCCCTCCTCTTCTCTCCTCCTCCTCCCTCCTCCTCCTCCTCCTCTTCCTCCTCCTCTTCCTCCTCCTCCTCCTGCTCCTCGTCCTCCGTCCTCCTCTTTCCTCTCTCCTGTCTCCCCATTCCTTTATCCTCTCCCCTCCTCCTCTCTCCTCCTCCCTCCTCCTCCTCCTCATCCTCATCCTGCTCCTCATTCTCTCTCCTGTCTCATGTCTCCTCCTGTCTCTTTTCTCCTCTTTATCCATACTCTTCTTCCTATCCCTCCCATTCCCCCCCTCCCATTAGGAGTTTCGCTCGCCTGATGGGGCCGCCCGCTGGAACGTTTTCCGGCGCTTGTCCACTTCCTGTTCCTCACTTTCTGTCGCGGGTCCCCGAAAGGCTCGGTGACCACACCGTGTGGTGAGTCAGTGGGGATTCGGGGTGACCGCACGGTTGAGGGGCTTGGGTCGTTCTCCTGCGGCGTTTCGGGCGGTGTGGGCTTCCAAGGTCCCAAAACCGTGTGGTGACGGACCGTGCGGTGAGGTGTTCGCGTGACCAGTCCCCGCAAAGTTTGCCCTCCCTCCCAAATCGTCGTCTTCGTGTCCTACACCCTTTCTGCCAGGATAGCCCGAACGGGCCTGGACAACAACGTTGCGAAGCAGCTGGATACCAGGCGCGGCCCTGCTTGAGCCAGGGACCTTTGGATCCCCATGCCAAGTTCCAATTGTCATCTTCTTCTATTCCCTCTTCCTCCTCCTTATCTTCCTCATCATCCCCCCTTTAATTGTCCTCCTCATCCTCCTCCGCCTCCTCCTCCTCTATCCTTCTCCTCCTCCTCCTCCTCCTCCTACTCCTCCTCCTCCTTCTCCTCCCTCCTCCTCCTCCTCCTCCTCCTCCTCTTCCTCCTCCTCATCCGCATCCGCATCCGCATCCTCATCCGCATCCGCATCCTCATCCTCATCCTCCGCCTCCTCCAGATGAGGGGGATGGTGGAGAGTAAGGTGGGGGGACGATGAGGAACAATAGCACATGTACCACAAGAAGGGTAGATGCCTCCCTGGTTCCTGGCCAAGGCACCGATCCTGAGTCCAAGGTAGGCCTTGCCAGGATCGGTGCAGATGTACACCCAGACATCCAACCCTGCGATGTTCCGCCGCCGTTGCAGCCGTCGTCGTCGTCGTCGTCGTCGTCGTCGTCGTCGTCGTGGTCGTCGTCGTGGTCGTGGTCGTGGTCGTCGTCGCGGGCGACCTCGTTTTCCACGCGCGGCCCCAGTCCCTTCCCCCAGAGTAGTTTTTCGTCGCGGGCCCATTTTTGATGGCCCGGGGCCCGGCCAAGGGCCCCGGGCCTTTCGAGGAAAAAACGCCGAGCAGAACGCCGAGAGGTCCAGGGAATTGCGGTATCGGTACAGTCGAGATTGACTAGGGGGAGAGACCTGCCAAATCAAATGTACCCTTCTCACCTTGTCTCCTGTGTTTCCGTCCTCCTCCTCCTCCTCCTCCTCCTCCTCTTCCTCCTATTTCTCCTCTTCCTCCTCCTCCTCCTTATCCTTCTCCTTCTCCTCCTCCTCCATGTACCCTTGTACCCATGCCCATGGCAGTGTGCCCATGGAAGGGTCTCGTACCCATGTGCATGGCAGTGTGCTCATGGCAGTCTGCCCATGGCAGTGTACCCTTGTACCCATGCCATGGCAGCGTGGCTCTCGGAAGGGTCTCGTGTCCTCTCGCGTTCCCTCTCCAGCCCACCCCGGCTGCATCCGTGGATGTTCGCCACGCGCAGCTCCCCCGGGTAGTTCCCGCTGGCCGCAGCTGGCCCGCCGGGTAGTCCCAGCTGGCCGCAACGGACCCCCGATTTTGGGACAGGCCCGGAGGGCCCCTCCTCCTCCTCCTCCTCCTCCTCCCTCCTCCTCCTCCTCCTCCTCCTCCTCCTCCTCCTCCTCCTCCTCCTCCTCCTCCTCCTCCTCCTCCTCCTCCTCCTCCTCCTCCTCCTCCTCCTCGCTCCTCGCTCCTCGCTCCTCGCTCCTCGCTCCTCGCTCCTCGCTCCTCTCTCCTCGCTCCTCTCTCCTGTCTCCTCCTCCTCCATATTCTTCCGCCTCTTCCTCCTCTTCCTCCCAGAATGGAGCGAAGAGCCGAGGGGCACCTCGTGCCAGGGGCACCGTTGGCACCCCACGAACGTTGTGAGAGGGTCACGACGTCCGAGTTCTGGGGAGCCAGTGGGGCTCCCGTGTCTAGAGGCACGAGAAGCGGCATAAGCATGAACCTTTGGAGCTCCGCACGGAGTTCTTGGACCTGCGCTAGACCCCCCTCTCCCTGGCGCCCCCTTCCCTCGTAACCAGTAACCGTTTTTGGGGGGTCCTAACCGGCCTAGACCCCCTGGCCGCCTCCGACGTGGCATCTCTCTTCTCCTCTCCGTCCTCTTCGTCCTTCTCTCTTGGGTAAAAGCTGTCACGGGTAGTTACTGTCCTCTTGGTAGTGCTCCGATTTGCTCTCCCAGGCCACGGTTTTCTACACGTGTCTGCTTATTGCAGGTCGGCTTGTGTGGCGCTCCGGATTTGCATGGCGGTCGTCTAACTCACAGTGTGTGTCCACTGTTGGGGCGATTTATGTGGAGTGGATCGGCACCGACTGTTCACCTGCCTTTACCGTCGGTCCGACGCCACCATCGAAACAAGGACTTTTCGAAGCCACAGAGGGGCTTCGTTCTTTCTCTTGCGTTCCTTACTTCAGCAGCCCGACGGCACGGCAGTTCCTGGGCCCCCGCCTCCGTCGGCGAGCCCGGCTGCGTCGCTGCAGCCGCCCGCCCGTCCGCAGGCCCAGTGGGTTGACGAGCTTCTTCTTTTTTATCGCTCGGCGCTCACGGGCGTGACCGGGGAGGAGGGACGTCAGGAGGGAAAAGACACACAGACACAAGTAGTCGTCGATTCCCCAGAAGAGATGGGCAGATGCGGGAAGTGGGGGGGAGGGAAGACAGAAGCCCAGAAGATATAGGAAAAGATCGGGAATCCTGGTATTTGTGTGTATATTTCTTTGTGTGTTCCAGGGCCCCTTCAGGGGAGGGAAGGTGGAAGGGGGCCCGCCACGCCACGAGTCGCACCAGCGCCGTCCGGGGATGCTGCAGAATGGCCCACTCCCAGACGGCGCCGGCGCGAAGCGTGACGCGACCGTACATAGGGGGGGAAGGGAGGGGGGGCGGCGGGGCAGGCCGCGGACGTGATCGCGAAGTGAGAAAAACGGGCTCCCTCGTGCGGCAGCGGAAACTTGATAGAACATACAGTTCCGTTTTTAAGACATGTTCCGCGTGCGGATCATGTATCAAAAATTGTTCACGCTTCGCGAATCCCCACCAGCCCATCCTAAAACAGCCACTTTAGCAAAGAGTACCGACTGTCGGGATTTGTTGATCATCTTTTCAGCAATGATGCCCAGAGGAGTTGCTTTGATTCGATCAGGGAAGTGTGGGAGCATACAGAGAAACGAAGGACAGGGGATGCCGCCATATCCCAAGAGGGGAGGATGGAGGAGGAATCGGAGGACGAGGTGGGGTAGGGGAGGAGGGAGGAGGAAGAGGGGGAGGCGGACGAGAAGGGGAGGACGAGCAGAAGGGCCAGAGGCCTCTTGGATGCATCGCGGAGTCTCTTGGGATGTCTTTTGGGAGCCTCTTGGAGGCCTTTTGGGGCGTCTTGGGGGCCTCTTGGCGGCCCCAGGGGCTTCTAGGAGCGTCTTGGGTGCCTTGGGGGAGCCTCTTCGGGCCTCTTGGGAGCCTCTTGGAGGCCGTTTGGGGCGTCTTGGGGGCCTCTTGGCGGCCCCAGGGGCTTCCAGGAGCGTCTTGGGTGCCTCGGGGGAGCCTCTTGGGGCCTCTTGGGGGCCTCTTGGGGGCATCTTGGGGGCCTCTTGGAGGCCTCTTGGGGCCTCTTGGGGCTCTTTGGGAGGGGTCTGGGAGGTATCTTGGGGCCATCTTTCGGGCGATCGATCACAGATGGGGCGAGCACTTTTCTCCCCCCCCCCCCGTCGGGGCCAGAATCCTCGTGAGGGGTGTCGAATTTTAGCCCTCCCAGGAGTCGAAAAAGACCCCTCCAACGACCCGCGGGACGCCCTCTCCAGGCCCAGGGGGAGGGGGTAGGGGGAGGGGTAAACCCCTCCCCGAAGGGGAAGAAGGGGGTTGGGAACAGAGCGGGCTCTCTAAACCACTCACGCTCAAAGGGCTGATGGGATTCAGGGATTCAGTTTTAAAAACAAAGATGAGTTCATGCATAAATTGATTCATACATTAATCATGTATTAAAGGTCCTATAGTTTTTGAAAATCCAATGTATTAAAAATTGCCCTGTACATCTTCGGAGCTCCGCGCGGACCTCCGGGATCGGCGTTGGCCCCCCGCCCTTGGCGCACGGAGCGCGCCAGGGGCTACACAAGGAGGCGCCTCCAGGGAGGCCCCGGGGTCGATGCGAGAAGTCCGCGCGGAGTTCCAAGAGTTTTTGGTCATGCATGTGCACGCTGAAGGAGGCTACCTCCCCCTCCTCCCCCTCCTCCTCCTCCTCCTCCTCCTCCTCCTCTTCCTCCTCCTCCTCCTCCTCCTCCCTCCTCCTCCTCCTCCTCCTCCTCCTCCTCCTCCCCATCCTCCTCCTCCTCCTCCTCCTCCTCCTCCTCCTCCTCTGGATAAGCCCCCTGATTGGCGATGATCAGCTCATACACCGCACTTGCCCGCGAAAGCCGCTTCGAGAACAGAGATTCCCAACTCGACTGCCGCGACTTGCATTTCAGCTCGCCGAGACAGGGTCGGGGCTGCATTCAAAGTCACCCATCCAGTCCTGGATGTGACTCGGGGCTGAGCGCCCCGAAACCCAGGATCAAGATGGTGAACCCGTTGTAGTTCCTGACGACGCTCGTCAAACTCTGGGCATTCCTGCCAAAAATGTCTCATAGATGGCTTGGGGTGCAGACAGCAAGGACACATCCCATATGTCAGCATACGAGTGGGCGTCTTGGAGGCTCCTGAGCGGTACACCTCCACAAGCACCAGCTGTTCGGTACTCAATGATTGCAAAAATCTCTTCCACACTTTGTCAGAAGAAGCTTCGACATCAACCTGCATCACATCAACCTGGTCATGCAGTTGCTGCTTCTTCCTCTAACGCTGTGGACGAAGTGCCCGCGACCGAAATTCGGACTCCAGTCGCGCATTCCAGTAGCGAGCGAGCTGGCGACGTCGTTAGGCCCTCGCTTGGACCCCTACGCGCCGTCGGTCCGCTTGGACCCCTTCCACCACAGTGGAGACCCATGCCAAGAAACACCCTGCTTCCCTCCAGAGTGCCCTGGGTTTCTTGGGTTTGTATGGTTTTGATATGGAAAGCGTGACGTTCACACACCCAAAAACAAAGGACATCCTGGGGTCTGAGGGTTGGGTTTCTTTGTGGAAGGGTTCTTGTGGACTGGCCTCCACTACTGTGTCGTGTCGCGTCCCGTTGATGCCGGGTTGGGTGGAGGGGGGAGGGCTTCTCAGAAGCACCCCTGCCTTAGAAGGCGCGGGCTTCGTCTGCAGATGAGCGACGCACAAAAAGGGGCCGTCTACGCCGACATTCGCGCGTAAGTTGCCCGCGTAAGTTCGCGCTTAAGCGCCCTCGTTCCCAATGTAACATGCCGCGCCGGCGGCCCGCGTAAGGCACTGCATAAGGTCGCT